TATTTACGAAAAAACTAGATTTAAGTATTAAATTCTAAAATCCAGGGCATCGCGCCGATTACATTTCGGCTTATAGCCCCCTCATAAGCTACAGTGGCCACCACTCCGCAAAGCGCGCGCACCCAAAACCCCTGCGTCCCTAGCCCAAGGGCCGCACAGCCAAAGTAGCTCAGAGCTTAGTAATACCATACCTACCAAGGCTAGCGTCTCGCTAATCCACGCAGCGCGTATCCCTGACATTGCCATTCGAGGGGCTCACATTTTAACCACCCTAACACCCCACGAGGTAAGTCACCGCCCCGCCTACCCTAGTCCGCTCAACTAAGTAGCCAACCCTCGCCCCCACCCTTAATCTCTCCTTTTACCAGACAAACCAGTTGTGGGCCCCGGAAGCCTTAGCATTCTTACACTTTCTAATCGTAGGCGGCAAATCCTAGCAAGCTACTACCAAGAGCTCGCAGCATTTAGGGCGGGCTGTTAGTAACTAATACCTAACCCCTAGCAGTCACTATTCGGTACGATAAGGAGCTTAGCGCCCTAGTAAGCTTACTAATAACCGGGCTAACAGGGATTATCGTGACTAACAGGGTAGTCAGGAACCGGACCTTCGAATAGTAGGGCCGCCGGCGTAGGTGCCTCTAGCCCCTCTTAGTTAAATACTTCGGCTACGCCTACCAGTCACCGGCGGCAAGCTATAGTAAGTTATTACTAAGAGGCTACTATTCTCGCGGCGGGCACTAGTAACTAATACTAGCCCCTAATAAGTTACTTACTAAAAGGTCCGGTATCCGCTTATCTTATCAAACGAGTCTACGCCCTTATTACAAGGACGCTTTTTTTAGGAACGGGAGGTTTACTTAAGTCTTAACTCCTAAGTAAATATATCTTTACGTCGTCGTATATAAATAAAGTATCGCTTAACTAGACGAGAAAAAAAAGCAGGTTATTACCTCGGATATTATATAGCTAACACGGAGATTTTATAATCTAATATTCCTTAGCCCAGTAAGCTGTTACCTAGATTTCACCCCGCGTCTTTAGGTATTAAAAGAGTCTATAATTCCCTCTCTCTTTATCCACCTTAAGTTATCTAACTAGTACTTATACCTAACTAGCAATCTTAATTATTCTTATTATTAAGACCGTTTTGCTAAACCTAAGCCACCGTACTACGATGGACTCTTCTTAGCTCTAGCTTTATATTTGTAATATGTACCCTCGACTTAAGCTAAAAGTTAACCCGGCGTATAATATACGGATTAACTTATTATTACTTTAAGCAATAAAGTCCGCCGTTAATAGGTACGTTTTTTTTTAAAAGCGTTTAGGACGCCTCTAGTTATATTTATTACGGACGAACTATAGTAGTAAATCTTTATTATAGGATCTAGATAACTAGATAGAAAGATCCCTATATATTACGATTTCCTTTTATCGAGGGTATATTATAGTCGATTACGATTAGCGGCTCTTTAATAAGCCCTAGAATCTTAAAATTAAAAATAGCCTTCTCGCGATTAAAAAAATAGGTAAGTATATTATCGTCTCTTATTAAATAGTCTACTAACGCGATAGAACGAGAAGGCGTAAAGGATATTATCCGAACTCGACTACCGAATTAATATTTATTTTTAAAAAATAATATATAGTAAATATGCCGCTATTTAAAAAAGTATTAAAAGAACTATGCTTAATATATTAAATATAGGTAGTAGATATAGTCTTTTAAGTAGCCGAATTACTTACTCGATCTAGCCCCCTGCGGTAATAGGTAAATTCGGTTATTAGAGTTAGGAAAGAATATTGACTTTGCTATTTTGACATATTACTAGGGTTAACCGCCGCCAGACTGCATAATAATATTAACAAACTTATAACATCACCTAGCTAGATTTCCTCTTGAGGATCTTCTTAAGATAATTCGAGATACTATAGAAGTTACTCTAGTTCTGGGCTTATAATATCTTTAGGTAGATGTATTCTATATTCTTCAGGACTAAGAGGACGAGATTATTTAGAACGAGGTTAACATTACGCTCGAGTTCTATACTTAGGCGAGGATTATTATAAGAGCTACTTTTGCGCCGCATAGTAATACTAGGTTTTTAATACCTCGAGATCTGCCGTATTATAAGTATAAGCTCCCTATTACTATGAAAGATAGTAATACGAAATTAGATTACTACCTTAGACTACTAAAACGAGGGTTTAAGAAAAAGCTAGAGCCGAATAATAAAAAGGTATAGACGTACCTAAAAACTAAAAACGCGTTATATATTTTGCGCTTCGAATCTAAATAAGTTACGTTTAGATACCAGGAAATAAATCTCGTAAATAGCGACGTTAATAACTTATTAACGTTAGATAAGATTTACTTTAGTAGTTCTAAATTTAATAGTTCGAGATTTACTACCCGAAACCTTAGAGTAGATAATACTAAGCCGTATATTATAAATTAGCGATAATAAGTCGTTAATTATTTTATACGTTAAATTAGGGAATTAATTAATAAGTTAGCCGGCCGTTTTTAAATATACTGTTCTTATAGCTATGGCAAAAATTATGGGCTAGGATCTATCGTAGTATAATACCGGATTATAGGTAATAAATATGCTAAGAGAACTATTATAGTACTACGATAGCTATTATAAGAATAATAGTAAAAATAGTAGCCCTTTAAATACGATACTAATACTATTATAGTCGTAGGCTAAAATACAATTACCAATAACCTAGCCTAATTATACCGAGCTCGACTAGAATAATTATACCCCTAGAAGTTTTTAGCTATGTCAAAAGGAAATAGTTAGCTATAAAGGGGCTTATTTTAGACGCTCTCTAGGATAGTCGGGCAATAGTCCTAGCCACGTCTCGTAACGAGGCATATAGAGCATCGCGTGCGGCCTTAAGCCCAGCTACTAAGCGCAGAAGTCGATCGCTTTCTAGCACACCCTAAATAGATACTAAATATCTCAAAAAGAACAATTTCCTTTATTACCAATAGAAATAGTCGGGACGAGCTCTTATAGTCAGAGTAGCAAAGGATAAGGTGTCTAAAAATCTAATTAAATATTAACCTCGGTCGATCTTATTAGATCGTCCTTATATATAAAGGTAGTAGTACGTCGAGGAGACTGGGTTACGTTAAGTTCCTACCCGAGGTGTATTAGCATTGGCTTCACTAGAAAAAACGGAGAATAATTTTTCTCTCACAAGTAGCCTGCATGGCATTACGTGTAGCCTCGGCCCGCTAAGTAAGCGCCTACAACGGCGGAGACTTATCAATCTTATGCAGGTAAACTCCTAAGATTAGGAGAGCATACATAATACAGTTAAAAGCGGCGTAGTTAAAACTCTTAATAGCTATCTAAGGTATCGATATCGGGTTAAGAAAGCAGCACTCTCAACGGATAATATTTAAAGCTCTACAGAGGATGCACAGTACCACTCAACATTCGCTTACCGCAATAAATCTCAAAGACAGCTACTAGAGATAGGCGATTTGTTAAGTAATCTTGAGACTGGGAACTACATAGATAAGAGGAGCTCGGTCAAGCCTCGATCTGCTAGAATCGCACTGCCACACACCGTGTAACAGGCGTCTCTATTAGCCAAATCTTGCTCGTTAAAGCGTCAGGGCAAGTTGACGGTCCATTACAAGCATCTTTGCTCTATTTCATAAGCAGCTTCCGTGACCCATAGCGCTTAGGCACCATTAACCGTCATGGCCGTCGGGATCTCGGCCTCATCGGAGGCTTCGGAGGCGTCGATAAGTGTCTATCCGGGATATATTACAATAACATAAGCCGAAATATTCTAGGAGTCTGCCACCAAGTGCATCGGCCAAAGTATAGGAAACTAACTGACCCGATATCCAGCGACCACTCGTGGCGCATATTCGTCATTCACCATTCGCCCTAGCGAGGTACTTGCTTCCGACGCGTTTCTCAAGCTCTGCAAAAGCTCCATAGTCAAGGCAGGAGAAGCTAAGATAAATGAGCAAGGTCAGTTAGACGACATACCACTTTTAACGTTCTGATTCAGCTAGGCTCAGACTGGCTGTTTCCAAGCAATCTAACTGGGACAAGGATAATGTCGGCTAGCCGACGCCACGTGAACTTTACTTGTACGACGCTTATTCTCCTGTGGGCCAGCCTATTCCTTGGTCATACTTTCTCAACATCGACAGCGGCACCCGCCAGGATCAGGTCAACTCAATTTTTGGGGGCCTTCTATACTTATGGCTGAGACGCCACCCCTTCAAACTTAATCAAGCGACGAAAAGTATACGATGCTATGAGGATCTTTCTGCCTAATTCCACAGCCGCCCCGTTTCCACTTCGGAAATTCGGCCGACCCAGCAATTTAGCTTTGTCTCCGCTCGCACTAATAATCTTTGTCGGACCATGTCAGGCCGGCGTTTAGAGAACTAGACTCTAGCTATGTCTGCGACTATCCCTCTATTAGAGAGGAAAAATCAAATTCTCACCTCGCACAGCCATATGTTAAATTATGTGCTCCTTACTCCCAGGTGGGCTCCACTCCGCCATGGTAGACCACCCAACCTCTCCTCGGCTGTTGCATATAGGCACATACCTAAAAGGAGGAGGAGAAGAAGGAGAAGAAGGAGGAAAAGAATTCAAGATGTGCTCGGCTCACCTTGTTTTGACACAACTGGCCCGACCTTCAAAGTATAGAAGAGCGTGGACGTGGTACCTAGTGGCGCTACCTGCCCGCAGGCCCGCTACAACACCCAGTAATCGGCCATTTGATGAAGATATAGACAAGTTTCAATCCATCCTTCTTCAGATCATCTCTTTTGAAGACGCTTTTTCTCCCCCTCCCCTTCTACAATACTTTGTTGACTCTTTCGATTTACCGCTGTAACCTTCCGAGACATAGCTTTGAAACATCGGCTGCTTGATTCCCAACGCAACTAAGATACGTTTGCCGTCAAGACGTTTCTCCCGCCGGCTGATCCCTACCGCCAGCGTTGAATCATGATGTCTCCGGAGCAGCGTATGGACGCTTTACGACAGGGTCTCTGCCACGTGATTCTAGAGCAGCTCGCGGAAATCCTGCGGGATTGTTCGTCCGGGAACCTAGCAAACCGGGTGCTTCGATTTCAAGCTCTCATTCATGACGGCGAGCAGGGGATGCAGTGGCAAACCCCCTGCTCTCCCATGATCTCGGTATGTTGCACATCCATTTCAATCATCGAGGGCTGAACCTCCTCTTGGCACGGGTTGTTTGGCAAGCGTTTAGCCTTCATTTGCCTGTGCAACTCCAGTTGTATAATGCAGATAATTACTGCGAGATAGAGTGGTGGATAAGTCAGCATCGAATGATTGACTGTTAGGTCTATTTTACGGCTCCTCCGTAATTCTGCCACATGGGTGGGGAGGGCCTGATTGACCAGGCATAAGAGGTCCTTCTGCTAACTATTATCATCGTCATACAGAAAGTCTTAGACTTATCAGTCATCCTTTCACGGAGCGAAAATAACAGACTGAATGCGAGCAATTCGGGAAAGGAAAACACCACCGATCAGCCAACACTGTCCACCTTTGGCCCGCATTACTTCCGAGCGCAAAGGACGCCATCCCAAGGGCTGCCGCAATCATCACCCGAAATTAGAGCTAATGCTTCATATCAGAGACGGGGGGTCTCAACGCTGCGACCAGTCAGGAAAACCGCGCAAGTGAAAGAAGACCCCCCGGAAAGTCAGCGGTATTTGCAGTTTATCAACAGTTTCCCTAAACGCGTGAACTTTCAGACAGACATTGTCTCCATCCCACAGCAATCCTCCATCAACAAATTCGTCGTCAACATCTGGGAGCAGATTCACGGCAGCATCAGCTTGGATTCCCAAAATCTGCTTGAACAGTGGCAGCTCATGGTAACGGCAGCAACGACAAACATCAATGATGCTGGTAAGACTTACTTTCCTAAGCAGCTCGAATTTAGCCAGCTCCAGGCGTCTTCAGCAGAAGGTACGCTGAATGAGGTTGAGATCGAGGGGATTTTCAACCGCGGCAACGTCTTTTGCCGGAAAATCACGGAAATCGGCCGCGCGTACCGCCTGATCGAGGTTATTGTCCAAGCACGGTGGATCGAGCACTTTGACTTGTTCGTCGAGCTGCTTGCCATCGCTAAACCCGACATGTCCCGCGCCAAACGCCGCAAAGCGAGGCTCATTCAGACATGCAACGACTTTGGGTGGTCCGAGAAGGAGCTACGAAACAAGATGGCCATTTGGCGCGGCTACAAAGATATCAAGGATGCGGGAGGCTGGGCAGCGCTTGTCTTTTCCGGCAGGGGACTCTACCGCTTCTGCAAATACAGAGTTGCATTTGACCCGAACAGTATGCAGCGACTCCGGTGCGTCCGGCCGCAGATGGAGGTCGCTGCCGATACGCTGCACCCCACATGGCGCCATCTACTCATGATTGTTGGCGAACGTACACAGCACCAATTTTCCGGCCACCCACACGACTGGGTGGTCCACAAAGACGGTTCGGTTCCGGTTCCGCTCCGGTCCACATATCTCGAGTATGACCCCTACTTCAGCTTTGAGCAGCTTGAACATTCAGTCATAGATATGAGCGCGTGGGGTACTGATGACCCACGGTGGGTACCGCCAGTGAACGTCGTGGCTGGCGTCCAAGACATACACACATGTCAATTGTGCGGGCGGGAACAGTCCGAAGACCCCGGGTCCAACTCCTGCTACTGCTTCCCGACGCTATTTGGGTCCGGGAGCCGGAGCCCCTGCCCGGTGCAGGTGTTCCGGACCTTTGACGGACGCAACAATGGCTTAATGGCCCTCTGTCCGTTTGAGCGCGGCGCGGCGATAGGAGAGTTTGTGGGTCTCATCACGAGAGATCTACAAAACATAGATGTCATGGACAGCTCGACGGGCATCCGGGCCTATCAGATCTGGCAGGGTCGGCAGGGAAACTTCACGAGGTTCATCAATCACAGTTGCCAGCCCAACGCGCGATTTCAGCAGTTTGTGTGGATGAGCACGCAGCGCATTATCCTAGTGAGTAAGGGCATTGAGGCGGGGCACGAAGTCACGGTAAAGTATTCTGAAACTACTGGATTGGCTCGAACGAAGGATGTCTCTACGGAGAGTCATATTGCCGGTACCAGAGTGCACCTCGACGGAGAGAAATGAATTTGCGGAGTCATTGATTTAAAGTATTATACAAATAAATGGACGAGGCGGGAAATATGGGTTAGTTAAATTATACGGACGAAGCGGCCATAGGAGCTGATTGAATTAGACGAGATTTCTATACTTGAGAGAAAAAGATTCTTCCTTCTTATTTCTTGATTTTTTATTTTTTCAAGTTTGTTTTCTTTTGACGCCTTGGCTATTAGGTCCGGACATAGCTGCTGGCAAAAGGAGCGATTTCATAACAGGCTGTGTATTATAGTTCTATATGTAGCCTTTATTCTAGGTTAAGCTCTTGTATTAGCTTTGTAAAGCGAGCCAATGAACCGAGCAGAATACATCATGGCCACTCGGCCAGTACATATATGCTGCGAACAAGTATTTCAAGATTGGATACCTTCCTTCGGATTGAGGAACGAAAGTTTGCTATGCTTTCACCTCCTCTCGCTCATCCACAATGTTCCACTATACAGCAACTAGGATTTTCATTCATCGGGCATGCTTCAGGATGTGATCAGTTCGTTGCGTATGTACCGATAAAGGATACCCCCTCAGTTCCGTCGAGCGCACTTGGTCATTCGTTTTGAGTTACCCTCACTCCTGATAAGACTACAGCCGGTTACAAGTCTTTCCTTACGGTCAAAAATACATCCATTGACATTTACGCCTCCGCTGTGTTTTTCTTACTTGGGCAGGGTATTTCAGTGACTCAACAACTTATTTTCTTGTTGAAAGCTTCTGACTCTGCAACCATGGTGCCGTGCTCCTCATCCACCGCTCCTGACCGCTTCATATTGTCCGCCCTGACGGAGTACAGTTCATCTTATTGTTGGCGCCAGACTTCTCAATCATCGCAGCTTCTTGAGCAGTCATGCTTCGCAGAATTGTAACGCGAGTGGCAAGTACACTGCACGTCCTGGACTGGGCGGCAGGATCCGGACACAGAGCCGCGGTTTGGGTTCTTGGCGTCCGTATTCTTGTAATCAACCGTAAATGATTTACCGAGCGAGCCGAACTTGCGGTTAATGTAGAAGAGAGCGTTGCCCTTACGCAGCCCGTTGTTACAATACTCAGCGGGCTCGTTGCGTTTCCAATAATCGAACTGACCACAGTCTACCCCGTAATACTGGTTCACTGTGTTAAAAGGTGTCAGTAAGTCTGAGTTGTCTCGGAGAAAAGGCGTATAAACGTGGGGGGACGCACTGGCACTGTCAATCAGAACCCAGGGATCTACGTGATCGTCGAAGCAGAAGTCGAGAAAACACTGGACTTTCTGGCAATCGCAGTAGCTGAAGCCGCAGTCGCGTTTCTCAAGCTCAAAGGGAAGGTAGTTGGGAGACGAGATGCTAGCTAAGACAGAGTAGGTCATCACGCTAGTGAGGACTAAGGAAAGAAATGAGGGCATCGTAGCCTAACTAGAGATTTATTGAACGAATGGATGGGGGGGAAAGGAGCTGATACGACTGTAGAAGTCGAGGCTAAAAGAATGAGTAGGTATGTGGACGTGTGACGACAGGTCATCATTGACTGACTGGCTGGGGGACTCGACTTATAGACATAGGAATTCAAGGCACTTTGCTTGGACACTGTTTGGCCGAGCCAGACAACCTAAATCCGCGAGAAAAGAGCCAAACACGGCTCAGGAGCTTTCCAACCTGAGAAAGGAGGCATCTATTTGACTTTAATCCAGGAATCGGCGTCTCCGAATTCGTCGGTATGTGCCATAGACCCATCTACTCCTGACTCCATGGCACATATCGTCTTGACGGGTTCCTAGCTGAGCTGAGCTGAGCTGTACGACGTAGTAGTGGGACTACCGTTGTTTGCAAACCTGAGTCCCCACTGTCTCATGTCATAGTCGTTCGGACTGAGGACGCTAGTAGAGAAATTGCACTGTAGTTGACTTTGCAGCATGTGACAAATTGATATTGACTTTGCTTACAATTAGGCGGCATTTCGGCATCACTATAACAAGGCGGTCGTCCGGTTGCACCAAGAGTGCACGGAGCATGATTCGGTTGCCCTACCCTAAAAAGGTTCGTGTTATGGACCCAACATGCATGACCAGCCAAGGCCTGCCCCGGAAATCATTGCAGGCTAAGCTGGAACGGTCGCGGAGGGGGGAGCAGAGGCGGGGACTTTCAAGGTAGGCTCTTTGTCTAGGGAGAGCTCCGGGAAAGCCCCACCAAAGAAGTGGAAGGATGATACTGTATCTTGATTGGGTGGTGTCTTGCACCGCATGTGGCATACATTCACCTTTCTTCATTGGGCGAGCGAGAGGTAGAGTGGGCGCTTGTCAATAAGCGGAGCCCGTTGGACAGTTAAAAGCGAGCTACAGACAGTTAGAGGGGAGCTACAAGCGATAAAGGAACGCGTAGAAGATGAAAGCGCCGAAACGAACAAAAATCTCGAAGCACTCGCGATAGTGGCGGCAACGCAGGGCCACACACCCAGCAGTGCTACAAGTGCTAGCAGATCGCGAAGCATAAGTCCTATCAGTGCGCAAATCCCCAGGTATGTGGACGCTGTGCCAAGGTAGGCCACCAACACTCTGAGTGTCACGAGACGATGGTGAAATGCGTGCCCTGCGGCGGACCGCACGAGTCGTTCAGCAAAAATTGCCCGAAGCGCAACCATGAAGTTGACGAAAAGTGCACACTTGGCAGGACTGCCTTTTACATCGCCTGCAAAAATGGATATGTTGATCTGGTGGACTTGTTTCTGGACAAGGGGGCCGACGTCACAATTGCAGACAACAACGGCTAGACATCACTCCCAAAGTCTAGCTGTTATAGTATGGTGCCCCTGCTGGTGGTATCCTGTGTCAAGGATTGCTTCAGCCGAACCCTACATATTCCAAACCCCAAAATATTGAAATGACAAGGTCCTCTATTGTGCAACAGCTCAGTCTGCTAGTAGGGTTTCTCAATTGGGTTCTCCCTTCTGCACCTGCTGGACAGTCATGCGCCAGCTTCAAGCACCTCGTTCAGTGTGTCTTGGACCACCATCGGAATAACGACGACTGGCGACAGAAAGAAAGTAGCCTGGGTAGCTTAGGATCGAGGCCACTACCACTACCCGCTTGTCGCTTTGACTTACTAAACACATTCGACTGGTTCGTTCCAAGTCTATCAGAATCAAATAACAGGTAGCAACCGTCATCAAAGTTTTAAAGAATACATAGCTGATTGATCATTAATTTCTCCCAACTACTTTGAATCCTCGGTGTGGTGTACAGAATTCTACCTCTCTGCTACAGGCCCTTGCGATCACGTCAAATTGGCGGCCAGTCACTTTTAGTCGGGAGCCCATGTTATTCTAGTGTTGACCGGAGCGGAGGATTTACATCCTTGGATTATAGCAACGCCACCTGGAGATGGGAAAGACGCCGTATTTCAGATCCGAACATATCGACACCAAATGCTTCAGAATAGACATTATACCTTATGCTACCTGACAACGAAAAAATTGTAGGTAAGTTGGAATACATACGACAGCTATCCATCCAATATAATAAATACTTTTTGATTTCAAGATGGCCTCATGTTCTCAGCTCATTGAAGCCTACTTTCAGAGCTTCGAAGCCATGAAGCGGTAGTAGGCCAAACAGTTCCAGTCCTCAGAATACTGGCCGCCAGATAATGCAATCCACTCCTCACCTACAGCCAATTCATGTTAGCATCTGCTTCTTGCCACGTTCATCATAGGAAAAGCCGTACCCTTTCTCACGACCCTATCGAGATTGCCCTTGGACGATGACGTAGTTCCACCATAGTCAATCCTATGAAGAGAGAGGAATTAGTACAGATCCATTCGTCTCTCTAGTGAAACTAATCTTGAAGGGATTCCTACCGCTGCATTCTCTTGACTTCGTCCCAATCGTGTCTGGTCTGAGTCCATGTGTTGGGGTTGTCTGCCAGACGCCTAACGTGAAGATAACTGGCCTTGAACTTCTTCTGAAAGACAGCAGTCTTTCCAATGATCAGTCCAACATGAAGACAGCCCGTCTCATCAATAGTGTATTGCTGAGAAGGAGTCATGCCCTTTTGGCCAGGGTACGCCTTGTTGCAGGACATGAAGTAGTAGTTTGTGTTATGCGACAGGGTGCCAACAACCTTCTCGGCCTCTATCCATGCCGCACTAGAGTCGCGAGATAAGATGCCATCGGCGTCGAATGCTTGGCTTTCTGTAGTAGCTAAGTCGCCCGGAGCGCGTACTGCCAGCTCTGTGTCGGGCTTCGGAACGGCCAGGCCGGAGACGGCGGCGCACTAGGCGAGAAGTTGCAGAAACCTCATTGCGAATGTTTAAAAGACACTTATTGCGCTGAAGATGTGATGATCATGATTGACTATGCAATCTAGAACTGAAGTTGCAAACCATTTATACGTGAGATATTTCAAACTGATAGTCTCTTAGTCTGCGCAATACCAAAGTCCCCATCCTCGGCCATCCCGTAAGGAGCCAAGCTACTCGTCCATCTGGTGGGTTTAGACGTCAAGAACCGAGATAGATTCCAGCGAAAAGACGCCGTCTGAGTTGGAGGCAATTTCCGTGTTCAATAAAGGCTCTTCGACAATCAATTCTCACCATAGTCAATAAACAGGAATGACGCCGCTCTAGACTTCTAGTAAGCGTTCTTTTCCCGACTGAAGCGAGAGATCTCACGAGCCGGAGCCGCCGGTGGGATATTAATTGCACGCTTGCCAACACCTCATGAGGAACTCATGGCACGGGACGGCTCAAGTTGCAACTCACTAAAAAAACAGAGTCGCCGTTCAAGTGCCTCTTGGATGTATCCGTGAGTCAAAGCGTCAAGCCGAAAGTCCCGGCTACTTCGGGCCTGCGGAATACCGCGCGGCAATTCATTTCCGGCAGGCTTTACATTAGGTATTGTGTATGGAACGGAACAAGGATCAAACTAACGAGAACTTCGCCGAGAATGAGGACACCTTCACGACATTGGAGTCTGACATTAATTGCACCTTGACTACCGCCAATCAGCTCGGCTTCTATACGTTACCTAAGCAGCACGAACACTTTTCTTTCCTGGATTCTAGCGTGAAAGCCCCACGAGACCGGCCGTGCCCATTCCCAATTTTAGAACTCCCAAGTTCCCTCAATCAGGCTGAACAGACTCTCAACCAGAAAACAGCATGGGTCCCAGGAAACTTTTGCCTAGGCAATTGAGTACGAAAGTGAATGGTCATGTTCGACACTGAACGGCGAAGGCACATAGGGCTTGGAGTTATGTCCGTATATGTAGCTGCTTCTCTCACGTTCTTTCCAGAAGCAAACCTCTCACAGCCTAGTGTGTTCATCAAACCATACTACTGAGGGGGTATCCAAGGTAAATCCGAGCGGCATCCTGCTGGATGCTCACACGGCAAACCCTGCAGTGGGATGAAACGAGTTCGGTACGCAGTAAATGGACGTATTTCTAGATTCTCTTCTCTATTTCGACAGAACACGAAAACCTCCGAGATTGCAGCCAGGAACAGCAACCAAAACCCAACCCAACCCTTTTTCTTTACCTTTGCTCCTTCATTAACCTTTTCCCAGAGTTCACCACTAAACATCCTGAGTCGGTCGGGATAAAGGCGAGGAAGCTAAGTAGACTTTGTCGGTTGAATCACTGACCAGGGTGCACCTTGCGTTTTTAGGAATTTTCATCGTCATGACGTAAAATTTCATCTATTTCTCTGCTGTCAAGAACGTCTAATGGTATTGTGTTCGTCCGCTTTATCACTCAAATATGGTTTAGGACCAGGTATGTTGCTTGGTAAATGCAAACATTGATAGACTGAGAACATCAGTAAATGAAACCGAGGGATCACCAAGGTAGCCTCCCTTGACGTGATTCTTGGTATCGCCTCAGAAGCTTTCGGCGAACGCCGCGATCCCGGCTGTACACTCGTAGCCTTAGTGGATTTCCAGCGAAATCTTAGCCGCAACAAATCATGAGGCTCAGTAAGTCACGCCGCAGTCTGAGATAGTTGAGGATATCTTCATTATTCTCTGATTAGATCTACACAATTATACTTCACGGTCTTCTCCGTTGGAAAGATGGTTCTCATCGACCAAACAATCTCATCTCTGGCTCGATGATTTGGCAGAGTAAACCGATTCCGGGAGCATGTTCTTTATCACTTGTCAGTCTTTTTGCAAGATCACCATGGACGAACCAGTCGACTATAAGACTCTTTGAGTTTAAGTACTTCGGTCTTCCTGGCTACCACCAAAAGTTCTTCAGACGTCTCATCCCATGCGGTGTCTTCTTAAGTTTTCCTCAAAATCTAGCCTCAAAATGTCCTTTCGATCGTCTCTCCTACTTTTTCTAGTGTCTTCGCTAGATCTTGCCAGCGCAACAACTTCACATACACATTGGAAGCGCGGTGGCGACGTTGCGGTAAACGACAAATGGACGAACCATGACAAAGTCGTCCCTCTTGTGGAAGCTCCTGGCTATGATCTCGATGGCGAGGTCCAGATGACTTTCAAGCCCCTGATCCACTCATGGCACGGCTGTGTGCCATACGCAGCGGTCGACGTTGATGGTGCTGCCGGGTAAGTGATTAACATCCCTTGGGACTTAGGAAATTCAATTTCCAAAGGCCAAGCAACATCGCTCGCATGTACTGATGAAGCTCGTGCTAGTGCTGGTTTGAAGCCAACGGGTAAAGCCGGCGGCGACTGCCGTGACTTGGGCCAAAGTGGCCAAACTTACACGCGAATCGGAAAATCCCACGGCCGGACGGGCATCATCTATAGCTACTACCTACCCAAGGTTCAGGGCAACGACGAGCAGCACAAGCATCACTGGATCACAGCCGTCGTTTGGCTCGCCGTCGATAAATGTCCAGACGATATCGCCAACTTCTCGCCACGCGGCGTCGCGTACTCGACGAAGCCACAAGGCGCTTTCGACACCACACATGCCACCAATACCCTCTTCGTGAGTTAGGAGAACTCAGTGACAGCAACACGACCTATCTTGGCATACGATGCCGGAGTTCCTCTTATCCCTTCCGCAAATAGTCCAGAAGGAGCCTTAAGCCCTCCTCTAGTCGCCTGGGATCGCCTCCCGGCTGCAGCGAAGGAGCAGCTAAATAGCATTCGATATAAGCACACCAGAGTCCCCTTCAGCGACGCCAACTTCCAGAGCACTCTTGACTCTACCTACAGCGATACTTTCTTCACTGGCTCTGGTCCAGATAGTACGGATTATGGCGATAATACGCCGTCGCAGGACGAGATTAATCCTAATTTCGGAAACCCAATTACTTCGTCCACTGCGGCGCCCGAGCCCAAAGCCACCGGTCCTTAAAGATGGGGCCAAGCCATTTTAACTAAAAAAAGCCTATTAGTCTAGGACTTCAAAATAGTAAATGCGTTTACCTATTAGGGATAGGGAGAGAGCTCACTAAGGCCCTGCCCTACGACGAGCCAAAAAATTAGGTCATTAGCCTAGGTAATTCGCAGGACCAGGCGGGGCAAACCCATCATCGTCGTCGTAATCATAGTCGTAGTTAGGTTAGGTTATATTTAAGCTCGTTATATTACCAACACCCAGACATCCACGAGAAATATATTATACATATCACGCGAGACATATAGCCGTCACGTAATCTAAATCATATCGAAATTCTTACTAGCTATGTATTAATTTAAAATTATGAAGATGAACGGGTCTACTTACAAACTTTTACTATACTATTGGGGCGACTGTGCCATACCTCTCTCCACTTATTACGCATCTACTATAGCCCTTAAGAGGACCCTTATATATAAGCCCCATTAATTAACACTTATATAAACGGTTAGAAACTTCGGCACCTTTAGTTTAGCCTCTAGAACCCTGTACCCCGTATTATATTAATCAAGACACGGTGCCGTATATCCTTATAACGTAATTTTAGAAGTGCATTTTATATTCGAGCGTTATTTTATAAACCTTATACTCGGGTCTCTTACTATCCGCAACCTTAGATAAATACTTATTTCAGAAGTACTTAGTTAAATTATTAGATATATAGAACTTATAGGTAAGTTGGTCTAATCGAGCCTTGTTATCTAGAGTTAAATCTAAGGCCTATTTAATATAAATAAAATATCTCCTAGGCCGCTCCTTATTATTAGTAATATAAATAAATCGTATAGCGAGGTCTAACTAACTACCCTTAAGTAAATTAAAAATAAAATAATAAACAGCGGCCTCTAGTATCAATCGAGGGTAAGACCCGGGCATAGTATATCTTTCCTAGATAAGGTAATATATAGAAATAGCCTCGATAGCTTTATCCCTCTTTCGATATTAACTTTTAAGCATAGTTACGATCGGGGTAGTAAGTTTCTTTATTAGGTACTTTTATACTATGCCCTGAGGTCGATAGGTATTATCCGTCATAAGATTATTAAATCCGATACTATATATTTAACGCTCGATATCGTTTATAGCTTGCTTATTAGTCTATTCGTCTCTAATTCTCTATTTAAGTTCTCTCCGAAACCTCTACTTTTCGTTCTATTTCGCTCGTTTAACTTAGTAATATTATTTAGAGCCTTATAATAGTTTTTAAAAAGCTTTTATTAGCTCCTTAATAATCGGATACGTAGCAACTAATATAGACTACTCTGTTATAAGGCTAATAGGGCGACGCTTAAAAATAGAGTAGCCTATGTTATAAGATTGCTTTATAAGCGCTTACTATAGCTTTTACCCTCGGAGGATACCCTAAAAGTCGGCCGAAATATTCTATCCGAGGTAGTATCTTTAAAAAAGATCGGAGTTACTATATCTTAAAACTAGATTCTAGAGGACTTTATTAACATTAACTACGTTACGAGTTAATATAACCGGTTATTAAATTATAAAAAAGACGAACCATTTTAGTTAAACGCGTTAGTAATATTATAGTATAAGTTATATACTATTATAAAGTATTCGAAGCTAAGTATTTCGCCAATTTTTTAAATCTACGCTACTATTATACTAGAAATAATTTAATCGTTAGTAGAAATTTAATAGTTTATAAATGTCTCGATAGCCCGACAAAATATAAAGGTATCGTTTAGGTCCTCTCTTAACAATAGTAGTAGCTCCCGCTCGCTAAGATATATATCGAGGTTATTAAAATAATACGGCGAGGTAAGGCTAAATATATTAAAAGCTCGGTATTAGAAGAGGACGCTTAGGAGGAATATATAGGGGCTTAGGAGCAAGGACGGGTCGAATATCGTTTTGGGGATAGAGTATATTTTTTTATAATATAAGTATAATTCGTAGGTTATAGTAAATTAGAATAACTTATTATTTTTTCTCACTAAGATAGCTTTTAGTAAACTCCGGAGTAAAGCGGAGGAGAAGTTTATATAATCCGCTTTTTAAGTCTCTAGCTAAAACGACCCTAATATCTTTAAACTATAGGTTTAAAATTATTTCTAGGCAAGATCCGGCCGGAATAAATAAAAAAAGAAATAGTATAATAAGGATGCGCAGCTCTCTAAGCTTAAACAACTTCTTTATTATACTAAGCGTTATTTTAATCTACTACTTAAGATCGTTAATTATTATATAACGATTAGCTTACTACTACTCGCTTAACTAGTATTTTTTTTTTAAATTTCGTAAAACTTAGAGTAGTTAATATAAATATTTATATTATTATAAAAAAAACCTACTCTATATATATTACGGTTTAGCTTTTAGTTAATCTTTTTTTCTACAGCTTTTTTAAAAACGAATCGAAAAACCTTTTAGTATATACCTAAAGAGCTCTTTTTTTTAATTTTGCGTTTCTTCTTACTATTCTTACTAACTTTCTAGCTTATAACCTAGTTAAAGAAATTATATATAAGGCTGAGCGAGATCTTTATATAATATTTTTTTAGGTCGCGTTTAAAAATATAATAGAACCTATAAATAAATAGCGTTAGTAAGTTAACGGCATATAAAGTTTATAAGTACGTACTATTACTACTATTCCTTTACAGCGTCAAGAAATACTATCGTCCTAGGGCTATAATCCTAATAAGCGAAGGGGTCCTTATTAAACACCTCGACCTTACGTCGCTAATACTCGGATAACTAAGTATTACTATTAAAGAGCTTTATTTAGTTTTTAATATCTATATTATTATCGTAAAAATCGTCAAAATCAGTTACGTTAGTACTCGAGTTACCTTTTTTATTCTTCGTCTCGAAAATATCATTATCGTTATAGTCATCGGATTTACTTTTAGTAACAAATAATATATTAAAATCGTAGTTATTTATATTCGTACGTCCGCGCTTTATTATAGTAAGAAATAAAGCGGCAGTTTAGAAGGGATAATCAAATAATTCGTAATACTCTAGCTTTAAGAGCTAATAAATTTAATAATTAGCTCACTAAAGTAGTATAATGCCCATAAATTAAATAGACTAAAGGGTAAGCTATAATAAGGGCCTATTCTAGTAATTATATTTAGTTATTAGAAACCAATACGTAAAAGAGGACTAAGAAGTTAAGCCTCGATATACTAAATATAGCTACGTAGACTATTTAGGCTAGTAGTATAACTAAGATATTATAATAAGTAGGTATTCTAGGGTATATACTTAGAACGAGAAAGGGCGAGGGCCGCTTAGTAGGCGTAGTACCTAAGTATAAAATAACAACTAATTTATAGTAAATTACCCGCTAAATTTAGTAGCAAAAGTTACCAAAAACGGCAGCAAATTAGCCGTCTCTTAATTTAAGTAAGTAAGTATAATATAAGTATTATATAACCTAGTTTATAATAAAATAATACTAACGAAATAAGTTTATTAAAAACTAAAATAATAAAGTATATATAAAAGTAACGTTAGGTTATATTATAATTATTATATATAAAATTAACCTTATTTTTTTAAAAACGACTTAGTTTTAACTAGTAATATTACTCTTAAGTTCTTTTAATTAATATAATTAGTAATAATATTATAAGCGTTTTAGAATTAATAAAATTAAACTTCTTAATAACTCTTTTAATATACTAATTATAAGCAAGATAGATTTTTAATTTAGTTAATCTTAAATAACTCTAATACTTAAATATTATAAAACTAGTCCTAGTCTTTTAACTTATACTTCTTTTAAAACTCCTTAGTTACCTAACTAGCTTTTTAAACATAATCCTTATAAAATAATACGAGGATATTATTTATATAAAAAAACTAGGACCTTTTATTTTAAATTTAAAATAAGTATAAGTCCTTATTTATAAATAAAAGCTAAATAACCTGGGTTATAAAAGCTCTTTATATTAAAATAAAAAGCGTTACGAGCGTTATAAAAGGCTCATTTAAGTTTAATATATTTACTTAGCTATTTAAAACTATCTAAAAGCTTATATATAATTAGAGAATTACCTAGTTTTTTATTATATTTAAAAACGTATTTATAATATTATATTAATAAATTTCTAAATTAAATTAAGTAATAATAACTATAGCTACTCTAAAAATTCTAATAACTAGAGTAATTACGTATATCTTTTAAAAAGTATTATTCTTAAAAGTCTCTCTTAATATATATCCTCTTTATAATAATTAAAATAATTATCTTTATCTAGCTTATAATTAAATACTTATTCAAATAGGATTAGCTTTTTAAGCTAATACTTAGCTAATAACTTTTAAATATTTATTTCCTCTAGCTTTTTAATTTCTATATAAATAACTTTAATAAAATAAGTTTTAAGGGGCTTAGGTATTTTAAAAACGTCTTTTTATATTTTAGAAAAAAATAAAATTATTTATATATATTTTATTATTAAGAAACGCAGTTAGTAAAACGTACTTTATTATATTAATTATAATATAAATATAATAATAAAGCGTTTAATACCCTAGGTTACCTTATTAATCGCTTTTTATTAATTAAATATATATATATTAAAAAGGTATCCTAATCTCGCTCTATATAAAAGAGAGTAAATACTACTTAAATTATTTTTATAATTCAGGTCTTAAATAACTATTTTTAGTAGCTAATTTTAATCTTTAATTTTATTTATATTTATTATCCTTACGATTATTAAATTTAGTTATTTTAAAATCTTTACCTAGGTTATTTACCTTTCTTACTTTTAATATAAGCTTATTAACTAAATAGGATTATTAAGGTCTAGTTAAATAAAAAGGCCCTCCTTATAAAAGCTTAAAAGAGTAGTATTTTTTATTTATATATATATTACGTCCTTAACCCTCTTAATAAAAAAGTCGGCTTCCCCTATAACTTTATTTATAACCTTAGTTAATTATATAAAAGCTATACTTATTTTTAAACTTTAAAAATTAAG